TTCTGGTGAGACTCTACTTGTAATCGCCTAACACGCGCGCGACCCAGAGTCAAAACACCCAGCAAAAGGCAAAGATCCAAAAGTGCTACCTGGGCAACCACCGGCGTTCGGAGGCCCGCTGGTGGGCCGGGAGGGGCGGCCGCTGCCCGCCTGCCGCTGGTACTCTCCTCGACTACGCGTATTCTTAAGCAATAACAACGTAATCCGTATTATCCACCCAAGAATACCCGTCACCGAAGAGAGCCGGGCCGCTGCCGCTACCGCCGCCGCCGCCGCCGCCGCCGCCTCCGCCTCCTCTGCTGCCACAACTCAGGCTGCCGCTGAGCCCGCCCCTGGCTGGGCTGGGCTGGGCTGAGCTTGACCCGGACCATAATCCATAACTCGATTTCCCTCCAGAAGGATCCAACGCTGCGCTCTGTGCGGCTGCTTCCTGCCCACAGCCGAATGGCTGCTCTCATTCCAATTCTGAAAGACAAATCACAAGCCAAGCACTGAACGCGGGAGGAGCAGAGCGTGCCTGTGGGGCCTGCCCAGCCAGGGAGGGGGTGTGGGGAGTGGGATGGCTCTGGGGGGCAGGATGGGTGTGACGAGTAACCTTTCGCTTACCTGCTGCCCCCCCAGAGCCTTCCTCTGCCCTCGCTCTGCTGGGCACCCCTCCGACTCGGCCAGCCCACTCAGGTGCTTAGGTGGAGAGTCCTGGCGGCGAGGAGCCCTGTAAGAGACAGGCATCGTTCAGCACACACATCACATGCATTTGCCTAGACGGCTTGAAGGAGTGCAGCTCCGATAAAGACAGGGTCACGCATGGGTGACATTCCAGCCGGGTGTTTTGGGGAAATGCATGATCACAGAAAATAAACGCTGGCTCCACTTACTACTTGAATCAAATACTGATAGATCCACCCAAACGGGCATCTCTCCTTGGAAGGCCTTGGAGCTACGCTTGTGCTTGGCTTGTGATTTTTAGAGGGAAAAACAGCTTTGAGCACACAATACAACTCATTTTCCATAGTAGCACAGCTCCCTGAGTTTGACAAGCTGGTGGAGTTTTTATGATGTAGGCGCCGTTTCTGTAGTCCCATGATGTAAGTGTACTTCCCTAGCCCACCTTCTAGATAGACAGGACAGATGCAACTCTGTGAACACCTGGACAGAAACACCCTGGGCTCTGTCTTCATAAAGATCGTGGTAAGAAAGATAAACAATGACCACTCATTTGCACGGTGACTGTAACGCTGGCTTTCCGAGAGAGGAGCTCTGTGATTCTTTGAGGGTCAATATGGTTCTTAGTGGAAAAGCTTTGTCTTGGACCCGGCATGAGTATTCTGATAATAGGGGTTTATTGTTCATTACACAAAATGGGCAGGTGCAGCGTCACTACCCAAGACAGGGCTCAGCTCCGTTCGAAAGTTCTCAATTAGCTTTCCCCCATACTCTCCAGTACATGGACGTGCATCCATGTGAGCAGAACAGGGAGGGGACATGGCAGCATGGCCATAGACATTATGATTCCTCAAATTATGTAAGTGCAAACAGCTCTTCATCAAGGAGTAATTATGTAACAGCATTCTCCCCCCACCACAACTCATCGCTAACTGACCTGGTTGCAATTTAGGGCACTTAGGCTGGGCTGGCTCTTATCATTATGTTTTAATATATCATTTCTCCAGACACACCAGCTCCGCATGTCCCCGACCTGTTACTTGCAGACAGTAAAGTCAACATGAATCCTAGGTTTTTACGACCAGTTGCTTCACATTCAAGGTCTGCTGCCCAAGAGAACTCAAAAGAAAAGCAGTACTGCCCCATTAGGAGCCTATTTTGCAATATTTTCAGGTGACTCTTAAGTACACCTTTCACAAGAAGACCGTTGCCAATTAAACAAATTAATGAGTCCTGTTACCTAACATAGCTATAAAGGGGAGCGTCTCCTTAGGCATGCTACACACACACACACACACACACACACACACACAGAAAGCTGACAGGTTCTCTCCAGCTTGAACTCCTAGAAACAAAAGCCCTGAGGGAAAGTAAGGCAATAGTCTGTGAGCAAAGTGTCCATTTGCTCCGAACTCCTCCATTTAAATCTCAACTCACATTAAAAGGAAAACAAGAAAGAACATTATCCAGGCAGCTGTTGGCTTAGCAAATGGAATATTCCTTTTGTACGAAAAAAGGATGGTACCAAGCCATAGACACACACACATGCATGCATACACAATACATGGCATCTCCGAATCACGGCACAAATACCCACACAGCTTTTCAAGGCTTTCTGAGGAAAATCTCCTTTAGTTTGGCTTCCTCGCCATTGAAATAACACACACACACACGCACACACACACACACATACACATGCACACGCACACACACACACACACACACGCTGACCCACAGAGTCACGCGGTCAGAAACTGGAACAACAACGCAGGAGGCATGCTTGCTTTCCCTCCAAGTCGCCAGGGCCAGCCCTCACCCACCTACCCCGTGTTCCACCCGCTTCAGCACCTGCGCCGGTGGACAGCTCTGCCCGGGCTGCGGCCGCGCTACACTCAGCTCTCAGCCCCGCTCTCCGCGCGGCTCTCCGGCTCCGGCTCCGGCCCAGCAGCGGGGCATTTGTTGATGAACTTACACTTGGCTGGTGCGCACTGAGTGGAGTCTGCCGCGGCGGAGCGGTATCCACGGAGGGAGGCTAGGTCCGCACTAAGTACCTTTGTGCATCGACTCCTGCGAGCTCTGTTTGTGAGAACCCACGTTTCTCTGGCGCCCCATCCCTCGAGGGGTGTTTTTCGGGCAGAGGGGGTAGGTGGGGGGAGGGGGCTCCTAGCATCTTTTGATCTCCGGAGGCCACCACGAGGGACTGCCAAGCAGTCCCCCTCCTGTCCCACCCTGCCTGTCCCCCGCACTCCGAAACCCCATCCCAGTCTCACGCTTGGTCATTGGCGACCACATTATAACATAAAGAAACGCGACCAAAGCCATCGTGTGTGAGGAACTAAGCCAATTAAGCGAATGCAGAAATGCTGCTCTCTCCCCCCGCCTCCCCCCTATGCATCACTTTGTAAATTTCTGTCCATTCTTTTCTAGCCTGATGTGTTTCTGTTGAGAAATCATTTGATAATCTAATGGGAGATCCCTTGTATGTGACTTTCCGTCTCTCTCTTGCGGCTCGTACAATCAATGGAAAAACACTATACACATCGCCCCTGACTAATGCTCTCTTGCAGACAAAAAGAAACACGTTTATCCATGTAAACACAGCCCGCCGCTCCGACCCATCCCGCACCCGCACCTTCGCTGAGCCTGGGCTGAGGTCTGGCCAAGTAACGGTCCCCAATCGCCTGGAATGGAAGCGCTTACCCTCTACATCCAGGCTTCCAGCGGGACCGGGATGGTGTGCAGGAGCCGGAGGGTCCGCGATGGGCTGAGCGACGAGGCAGGCTGGGCGCTGGGAGCCGCTTGCCTCCGGGGCGCGCCGGTCCGGCGTTAACAAGCCCTGGGAGGGGACCTGGTCCTCGTGCGGCTGAGTCCACGGTGGTGGAGTCCCCGGCGATCGCCTTCCGCGGATGGAGCTTCCAGAACGGCGTGGGGAAGGGGAGGGGGTCATCTAATGCAATCACATCGATCTGATCTCCACCATCTGTCGCCTGCCACTCTCCCCAAACGTTAAAATAGGAAAACGGAAAACATGGACAGCCCGGGAGGGAGGCTTGGTCTCTGCGAAAGAGTTTTTTTTTTTTTTTTTTTTTTTTTTGAGCAGAGCCTAATTGGGGAGGGTCGGCGGCGGTTGCCAGAGCTGCTGCTCACCCTCCGGAGTGGGTCCCCCCAACATGCTAATGGTGGATTAATTGAGGAAGATCTGACGTGCAGGCTTCCTGGTCTCTTATTCATGACTTCCCGAGGGGAGAGGACCAGTGCCTTGTGGGACGATGGGAGCACACAGTCAGAAAGCTGCTAAGAAAATGGCTGTGTGTTCACAGCACCTCGCTCTGATAACAAACATATGTCGACTAAAACGGTTTAGGAGAACGGGAGGGGAGGGTGGGAGAATAAAATTCTCTTTCCCGGTTTCAGCCATCCCCACCTCTCCTTAAAAGCAGAAGCAGGGGCTGTGTCTTTACCATCATGTAGGAAAAAGGGGTGTTTTAAAATGTTGGTTTTTTTTTTTTTTAAATCAAGATTAAACTCCGCCATGCAAAAGAAACGGAACACACCTGGGCAGAAATTCTTTTTTAAAAAAAACCTATTTTTTTTTCTTACTATGAGCAAAGTAGACCCATAGAAGGTGCGTACAGAAACTCAGCCCGTGAGTCCCACCAGGATGGACGGGGCGGTGAATGCCTGGTACCCTTCTGACTTCTTGAAATCTGGTTGCCTCTTGGGGAAGACATTCTGCATCATTGAAAATGGAGATAATGAACGTTAAATGTGGTTGAGGTGAGGAGATGGAAGGAGTTTGCTTTTTCAATTCGGCAATTATTCCCCCAGCCAAAGCCCCTTTTGGTCTGTGTCCAGTCTTTCCTGATCAGGTGATTGGGTGTATGGGGGTGGGGAGTTGGGGGGAATGTAGGGATTGAGAAGGGAGTGGTCATATGGGGGGGTGACCAGTTGGGGTGGGGATGGTAGATTATCAATAGCCAATACATTCTATTCTACCTGTAATTTTTTTTAAAAATTGCGGAAATAAAAAGAGATCACTTCCTGGTTGTCAATCATAATATTAAATATAAACCAGTTTTAAAATTAATGCTTTAGATGTGGGAAGCATATGTTTTACAAACCATAGGGTGACTTCCCCCCCCCCCATTTTTAATTTTAAAAATTTTATAAAAGAAATATAAAGTGCATTATCTAGGTAGGTGACATCCTTTTATTATCGCTGTCTAATCTATATTTCCTCTGATTTTTTGTCATCCCTTTGAACATTGAAAACAGTTCAGTTTTATTCTGCCTTTTTGAGAACATAAATTACCCTATATTCATACTAAACAGTGTTTAGGATAATTCTTGAGATAGCTGAGTATGTCTCTTGAAACTTTGATACTCTCTTTAAGGAGGGGGGAAAAACACCCTCACAGCGATGAATTAGATTAGCCTAAAAATATAGCTTGAAGACAAATCAAACAATTTACGTGATCTTTTGTTTCAGTGTACATTAATTAAGCCCTCTTCCCAACCTACCACCACTCCAGGGTCACAGTCAGAAACCCAAGCCTATTAGCAGCAGCCTTTGTTGTCATTCGCGTCAAGCTACTGCCCCCTGCAGGTCAGGCTGGAAATACAGGCAGAATTTGGCCAAATCTTCAGGAAATGCATGGTAGTCATGTTTTTCTCGCTCCCAATATTTAAGTAGAGTTGACTTTTACACTTTAAGTTAGTTTGCATGACGGTTTAAACTACTTATTTAATAATGGCTAGTTCATTTTTTAGAATGGGTTTTAAAGATAGGTGATTTCAGATTTCCTTTGAGAATTTTGCTGGGTGGGGCAGACCATCCCATCCAGTTTGTGGTCATCAGGAAGTACCTTGATGCGTTTAATATAGCTTTTTCATCCCTTTCCACATGGTCCAGCAAAGCTCCCAAGCAAATGTCACAGAATTGGAATGGTGATTTCTTAATAACAAAGAAATAATCCCGGGCAATTTACTACGGCATGTCAGTGTGCTCTTGGTAGATGCAACGAAGTGCATTCAAATGAAACCCTTTCAGATTCTTCCTACAGCTGATACGGTGGGGGGACAATTATACTGTTTTTCCTGATTATGAAATGAAACATAATTTCACCTCCATGCTCCCGCTGCTCCCTCCTCCTTCACTACAATTAACTTTCCCAAACAAGGCTCCTTGCCAAGATCAAATAAATTTACTGCTGACGGAATATAAATTAAATTGCATCAACTTTCCTACAGTATTAGGGAGTGGAGCAGGCTGATGGGAATGATTTCATAAGGCTTATGGGAAGATGCTTGCGTATTCTGGAAGGTCTGATATGGTGACCTACACTGGCTTGTAAAGAACCCTACAAGAAGCAGCGGTGCCTCCCTCCCTCACCACGGCTAACCTCCTTCTGTCCCCCGCTGTCTATGAGCCAGACCGACTCAGCTGTTTTCTTTCTAATGCCTGTCGACAAAGTTTCTTTTCATTGGCGCCCAGGACAGCGATTGTGCCGTGTGACCTGGGTGTTGTCCAGCTGTCCCCACGCACAACGCGGGAGATTGCCCCCAAGGGCCCTGAGAAGCACCCTGCTCTTCCTCGTGCTGCTGAGACACTGTTGTTTCTCAGGCGTCTGCACAGGGTTCTAGCGACTTTAGTGTGTCCTGTTATGCGTGGAATCCGGGATTAGCAGACATTCTTGTTCTCAGAAGCTAAAAACCAGGCTCTCTCATTCACAGGCAGCCTGTGACTCAGGATCCACTCTGCAGGCCCGTGGGTGTGCAGGTTTATCCAGAAGCACGTGTTTCCAGAGGTTTTCAAATGCTAATAGAGTGGAGGGAGGGGGTAGAGGGGGTAGAGCATGTGAGTGTATGCGTGTGCGCACTGTGTGGGTGCGTGTGTGTGTGTGTGTGTGTGTTTTGGGGGGGCACTGTCCTAAGCAGCAACTTTATACAGATTCAAGGCCATCAGTACTGTAACCGCAGGTGAAAATTCCTCAGGGGGAGAGCCCCTTGGGGAGCCCCCTATCTCCCCTGCCCCCACTCCCCTAGGCCAAGGCCAGGCCGTGTGCAGAGGGTCCCCACACCTCAGGCAGTGCTCCCTGGCGGACCTCGGGCAAACTCTCATGGGGGCGAGTTACCAGTCCGCGCTGCTGTCCCCCTGGACATCAGGTGCGGCGAGGGGCCCACAGCCAGCTGCCCCTGCACCCCGTTGGCCTGGCATGGCTCATTTTTAAACAGAACTTGTATTACAATAAGAAAGATGAATGACTTGACCTAGTGGTTGTTCCCAACGTTCCAGAGAATTAAATGCCCAGCTGAGAACAATACTAATCAATGGCAATCTCTTAGGTGCAGTCAGATCTCATGACCTTGAGCCACAAACTTTCTGACTGTCAATTAAGCACAGAACAGGAGCTGAAAATTTCAATGAAGACCTGGAAGAATCTCAGAGCCTGGGCAGTTCTGTCCCTGCTGGGGTCCCCTCTGTCCCGAGGGCGCGGCCTGCCCAAACCCCGCCCTACCTCCGGGGCTCGGGTGGCGCAGGGGCCAGTGGACAGAAAGCGCAAACCAAACCCTCTTCAACCGCTCTCACCTCGTCCACGTCCCCAAGGTAAGTGCCAGTCCAGTCTCCCCCTGGCCCCTCTCTGACCCTCCTTGGGGCTGAGGTCGGGGGAGACAAAAGGGCCACCACCACCCCCACCAAAAAAAGAAAAAGAAATGACTGCTTTTTGCAAGCACGTTTTGCAAGCATCAATTTCAAATACACACGCCGCGCGTTTGCGCACACACACTCATGCACACGCACACGCACACGCACCCTCCCCACTCCACCAAACCCACACTCACCAGCCCCGTAGAGGCCGCAGATGTGCGTGTGGGGGGCGCATTTCATTAGCTGCTGAAGGAAATGTTGGCTGAGGTGGTCGGCAGCACCTTCATTCCGTGGATGGGAAGGGAGGCGAGAGAGGAAGAAAGAGTGCCTTTCCTGGGGTCCTCCCCTCATCCCTGGGCAGGAGACTCCAGTCCCTGCAGGGTCGCAGGAGGTCGCCGCCCCCTCCAGAGAGGCCATCTCTGGCGGATTCCAGGAACCTGGGGGAGGGATTGTTTTGTTTTCCTGGATCATTCCCGCCTCGGTTCCCTATGGCGTTTTGAAATGAGTGCAGCCTTGAAGTTGGCTCTGTGCTCCCAGTGGCAGGGTTTTCGGTGCTGGGTGAAGGTTATTAGCGCCTCGAGTTAGAGATGGGCAGAATGCGCGTGTTGTTGTGGCTTCCCGTCCTGTCTGCTGCATCGCAGTGTTTACTGTCTTTGGAGAAGGAGCCTCGTGTTACATATTTTTTTATATGATCAGGCAAATAATAAGTCCAGATTCAGGAAAGGATCAATCGTATTTGCGTCTGTGTTCTTCACACAGTCTTCAGGGGAGGGGAGCGAACGGATGTTGCCTGTCCCCGAGAGGACAGGAAGGGAAGGCTCAGGAAGGTGTATGTAGTTGCCCAAGGTGGCAACAGGTGGCCATCAGAGAGCCCAGCTGACAGCAGCCCGAGGAAACGTCTTGAAAAATCGCGCTCTGCGGTGTTGAATTCAGGCTGGCACATACACTGATATTTTAGGTCTGAGTGTTAGCCTTTCAGAGAAGAGAGGGAAAGATCTTTTTCTCGAAAGGACACCCCTGATGTATTGGTTCTGAAAATGGCTTGTTACCAGTTCCCCAGCCCCATTTCACAGGTGAGAAAACCGAGGGAATGCGTCTTCGATGTCCCACAGTGAGGTGCTCCCAACCAGGTTTTCCGATTCCAGCTCCTCTCTCCATTCTGCTCACCTACCCTTCCCGCACACAGAAAGCACCTCGATTTTCCTCAGAATGCTGAAGAGGAGATCATTAGCAGCCCAGAGCCTGTATTTCTCAGGGCAGAAGCTTTCTTTCACCTTAATCGTGAATACCTTTCATACCGAAAAAGAAAATGCAAATGTAGAAAGAGTGCTATTCTCAGTGGTGAATTAAATGACATAAAAATGGCAAAAGACTAAAATAACGACATCAGCTTTACTTGAAAAGCAGTTAAAAAGCGATCTGGAAGGCCTGTCTCAGTACAATTTTAGTCTCTCTGCCACTTCCACCCATCCTCCCCTACCCTGAGAAAG